AACTAAAAAAATCATACCACAGTGATATATGTGCACCCATGTTTATAGCAGCACAATTTGTAATAGTCAAATCTTGGAAACAACCCAAGTGTCCATCAACTGAGGAATGGATAAAAAAGATGTGGTATTTTTATGCAATGGAGTACTACTCAGCTATAAAAATGATCACATTGAGATATTTATAAATAGATGCAACTTGAAATCATACTCATAAGAAAAATAAATCAAACTCACATGTATAAGTACCACACAGTCTCCCTAGCATAAGAAATGGTAAGAGTACATAAGAGTTTATGGTAACCATGATTCCCCCATTACATTGCTTTGAAGCCTTATCTTTTCATTCATTAGTTGGAATGCTTTATCCTGTTTTGATTTCACTATGGTAAAACATCAACTATAGTGATGGTATGAACAGCTATTTTGAACAAAACAAGACATTATGGCAGCCATTGCTGATTTAATGACATCTTGCTTTGAAGTCCTACCATGCTTTTGTTCTTCTATTTGCATTGGTTTTTATCATGTTGTGTCTTATTGGATTTTAATATGTGTTATAGTATAAAGAAATTTTATGGAAAATGAGATAAGATAGTAGCCATCATTGATTTTCTGTTATTTGGTTCTGAATGACCTCTAATATTTTAATTCTCTTGAATGGTTTTATACTATTTTATTATGTTTGATACTATTGTATCTGAAGGTATGTTCAACTATTTCAAAGAAAGAGACATTTGGTGGCTACTGTTAATATCCAGTTGTCTTGTGGTGAAGCACTGTGTTGCTTACATTGTTCTGCTCTGATCTGCTTTGTTCTATCCTCTTTTGTCTTAATCTCTTTAAAATAAAATTTAAAAAATATATTTAAAATGTTACAATTCATTGAAGGAGGGAAAAGTGTATTTTTAAATAATGGGCAAAATCAAATATTTAGAATATTAAAGTGTACGCTCAGGTTACATTGTATAAAAAGAAATCACTCGCACAAAAGCATATGCGTGTAAAAAAGATTTAAAAATACCTAAGCTCATATTACATGAAATGAAATGGAGAAGACCAAGTTCTTAATCAATAACAAAACTTTAAAAGGAAAACATAAAAAAGATTTGATTTACATAACTTATAAAATATGGACCTACAATGCATATAAAAATGATTAATATTTATACAACCAAAAGAGTGTTCAGAATCTGTATCTATAAGAAACATGTTAAAATATGTTTATAATAAGTAATATTTATTAAAAACCAGAATAATAATAATGTAGTACCCAAAAAAAGCACAATAAATAAAAGGAGTCAATAAATAAAAGGCTTACTAGAAATCTGCAATTTATAATAATCTAACAATAATAGCTTTTGAAAATACAATCTCTCAATGTTAATAAACAATTTAATTTAAATAAACAGAGCTTAAGTTCCCTAGCAACTGTTGTTCCCAGCAACACACACAAATATTTAAATACATAAGATGATTACTATGTCTATCACCTTGATTTTGGACATCTTTACGAAAAGTACATTTATATCAAAACACCATATTATTCACCTAAAATATAAAAAAAATTAATTTGTCAAGTAGATTTCAAAAAAAAAACTGACAAAATTTCTGAAAAGAAATCTATCAGAAAGTGAACAATAATATCTAGTTGACCAAAGAGTATGGCTGGCATTGATGGGGGAAAAAGAAACTCAGAAAAATAAATCTACATAAGGTCTATTAGTATTAAGATCCCATTTGAGCAAAAATATTAAAAAAAATCAAGATTTAGGATATGTCATTTACTAAAATTTATGGCTAAAAGTTAATATCCTGCAATGTAAAACACTAACACTCAGTGAAGAAACATCTGGGCAAAGCTTATACTAAATTCATATCCACAAATGAATTGCAAGTATTCAATAATTTTGTTCTAGTTAAACAGCAAGTAATAATCCTAGAAATAAGAAGACAATGAAAAATACTAAGTATAAAATTAAGATTGAAAATGTAATATCTCTTTAAAATTCAAAACACAAAAAGTATAAAAATGTATACCATGTAACAGGGAGAGATCTTCACAATACATATATCAGATGTACTGATATTAATGATATACGAAGAACTTAATAATTAATAAGAAAAAAACTACACTAAAGCATCAAACAGTGACATTACTAAAATGATCCATATATTGATAGTGAAATGTGTGAATATACAATTAATTGCAACAATAGAAGTTAATACCTCAGAATTATTAATGTAAACATAATGAGTGGGTAAAATGAAAGAAGAGATAAGCAATATGAAGTGTTGATGGAAATGATTGAAGCACTCAGGATTCTCAAAAATGGAAACTGCATAAATGTTAAAAATCAGTGTGGCAAAACTTTGCAGTCTCTAATAAAGTCAAAAGTTTTCCTATATTACGTTCAGTAAATATTTGAGACAAATGAAAAATCTTTCCACCAAAAAATATAAATAATAATTGTTCTATTTCATCAAGACAAACAAAACCTTGTAACAATCTAAGTCTTCAATAGTTAATTATAAAATATGTTTATAGTCTTACTGTAAGGAATTTAAAAGGACAAACTCTATTGCATAGAAATTGAAAGATTTTATTTAAATAATGATGAATATCATAAATTTTCCATCTATAAGAATGAATACTCTGAGCACATATTAAGTTCACAATAGACAAAGGCAACATAAGACTATGGTGAAAATGATAATTAGCTTTGCAGGACACTAACCAGAAATGTCAGGAAGTTTTCTGGGAAGATTTTATCATGTAAGTCTTGATTTATGTGACGTTCTTATGGGATAAAGCAGAAAGTTCACAAGCTGTATCAAAATAATTTACATATTGTACAGAATGTTTTTATAATAAATACTAAAATCTGTACATAAAATGGAATATTAGTCCTTTAAAAGTTGACTTCTAATAAATAATACAGTATATTTCACATTCTACCATTCTATGCCACTATAGACTAATTGCTGTAATTATTCTACATTTAAAAACACTATCTCAGTCTTTTATAAAACCCATCTACACTATACTTTCAGAAAGATGCTTGAGTTACCAATCTTTAATAATAGCAGACCACTAAATTCTGTATAATAAAACTGCAAATATTTATTCAGACCTATATAAGATAATAATTTGTTGACATTCAATATTAAATATTAAAAAGGCAAAAAGTTGAGAGGATCAAATATGATAGAATTAGTATAAGATCAAATTTTCACATTCATTAAACTATTCCTAGATAATCTACTACTATAAAAAATCTTCCAAAAATTCTGAAATTAGAATCTTTATAGCTAACAGTTTATAGAACTCTTTTTTTCTAGAAAATCTTACCAAAATTTGATATACAAAAACTGAAGATATGACTTTTTATGTATTAGTCTTAAGAAGTAAATACTATAATTAGGGTACTTTATTTCTTTAGAAGATAAAAATGTCAAGTAAAAACAAAAAAAGACAAACTAAAATCAATCAAAATATTCTAGTTTTGTGCATAATAATAGTCTTTGAAATAACGCATCATATGCTTTAGTCTGACATTCTATATCAGTAAGATAATGGGCATTGTAGTGAGTGCAACTTAGGTTCTACATGTCTTGACCATCTGAACTATGCTCTATGTTTCATTATTTTGGAGAGAAAAGAATATTTTGGAAGAAAAGAATATTTAAATTTCACAAGATGAATTCTGGTTCTGTATCCAGAAGAAATAACTAGTATGTTCCCCCCAAAAAATACACGTTTGAAAGTCAATTTCTAACCATTAAATATTTACTTCCATGCTAAAGTAGCAGTGTAATTGGCTTAAAAATAAAGTATATTTATATACCCAAGAAATAAGAGCAGGAAATAATTAGCAATACAATAGTCATATCAATTTGAATTAATTTCTCAGTAAGATTTATAGAGGAGCCTTTTTTCCTATAATAACTTGAATAAGTCACATAAAATTTGGTCAGTATTTTTAAACTATGTACAGGAAAGTATTTCTGCTCTTTTTCTGATTACATCAGCATCTAAGTCAAACACTGTTCAATGAAAAACAATCTCAAATTAATACCCATAATTAAGGTTACTGAACAAAAATTTGTACTATTTTTTGAAGTTTAGTTGCCATTATGTAAGTGTTCTCATGGTAAATATATAATTTTAATAATCATTCAACCCTCCTATAAATGACCATATAAAAATTGACATAAAACATGCAAATATTTCTATTCATAGAATATACTCTGTCATTTATTAATATAAAAAGGAAGCAATAATCTGAAAATATTTAATATGTTTTAAAAATAACAGCTTAGTATAGTGGTTAGCATACATGAACTACCTGATAAACTAATATGAATTTAATCAGTTAGTCACAAAAGAATAAATGAACAAATCCTAATTATCAACACTGTATGAAAGACTATTTCCAGATGGAACATTCCAATATTTTCTAGAAACAAGCCTGAAATCTTCAGTAGCCTGCCACTAGCCAAAGTAAAAATGAAATATTACAACACAAAGACAGCATCAATTAATAAATCAATAATAGCAGGCAATAGTCTTTAAAAAGCAAATGTCTAAGTATTGCTAATCCTAAAATTTTAGTAACATTATTTTACATTCCCTATATACTACAGCAAAAAAATAAGACTATTAAAATAAAGTATATGATTTCAAATGTAGTGGTAATAAGGGAGTATGTATATTAAGTGTAAAATTAATCAGAAAACTTAAAAGTCCTAGTTGCTTCAAATTTTGCTGCATATTTTAATACCTAATCTTTATTGAAATTTGTAATGCATTTTTAGTTGGTTTGATAGTATTTTTAAGAGTATTTTCATGGAGACATTTTTTGATACAGACTGTCAAAGGTTGGTAGATATTCTAGTATTGTTCAGGTCAAAAAAATATATCACCTTTTAGGAGAAAATTGTGATTCATTTATAATGAAAATATTGAAGTGTCATTATAAATAAAAGTTCTTAACACTTACCTGTATTTTAATAGGCCAGGAAAAGTTGCTGACATACACATAAAATGTAATGTTAGGATTGCTTCTGAAGTTAAACTTTTCATAAGAGAAACTATCTCTGTATTCTTTTATATTAGTCCGGGAAATTATAGGAGTCTCTTCCCCAGATATGGTTCCAGCTAAATGTAAACCATAACAAAATAAATTATTCATACTAGAAAATAGGGATCTTTATTAATTTAAAAAGTTAATATACTTATTTTTATAATTGGCCTTATAAAAATGTAATTATCAAAATAAACCCATGGTTACAATTTTGAAAGACAAAGAAAATAAATCTCCCATATGTTTAATAGAAATAAATTTAGTATATAAAAATTACATTAAAAATGGTAGCATTGATTAAATTCAATGTAATAGTCTCAAACTGACTTTGAGACTTGACATTCTTTTCTAACAAAAACACTGCTCTATTTTTCAAACTGAAAGCGAATCCTGAGAAAGATTCAAGAATCTGCACCAAGTTTATCACTCACTAATAACAGTAAACTCTTTGGAATTCAGGCCTGGATGGTACCTGAGCTCCCTCTATTTAGCACTTAATAGGCCATGCCAAAAAAAAAAAAAAAAAAAAAAAAAAAAAGTCACATATCTGAATCCAATTAAAAATGGAAAGAAAATCAATTTATTTGTCTTACAACAAATTGAACCATCACTACTTTTAAATTGGGAGGATGCCATAATTTAAAACATGAGCTAAATGCTCAATTAGTTAAATACAGATTGGGCACTTAACAAATATTTACTAAAATAAACCAAATGGATCAAAGCATTTCCAAAATTTTAACAAGACTTCCATCTTAATGAACTTTAAAAATAATTAAATTAGTATACTCAGTAATGAAATTAATTTCAAATCGATCTCCTACCCTAAAATAAGCTTGTATGCCTTCTTAATATGTAGATTCTGGAAACTTATATCCAAATAAAAGTATTTAAAGACCAGCACACAAATTTGTTATTCAACATAAAGATCTGAGTTTCTTCATGGTCACATTTTTTAAAGTCGATAATTTCAGTGAATAAATCTTACTGTGGAATACATATTTATGTAGGTTTTTAGTACTCTTCTCAGCACTGAAGCTTGCTTTTATGAGTTTGGACAAAAGAATTTCTTTTTTAGGTAAAAAGGAAGTTTAATAAATGTATAGCACTAACAATGAATTGGAATTTCAGTCTCATCATTGGTTAAAGTAATTCTGAATTAGAATTCTGCATCTCATAGTACAGCTATTTTTTAAAAATTTACATGGTGTAGAACAATTTGTTAGCCACCTAATTTTAAATGAACAATAGTAAAAGTTAACAAAGTATGTAGAGTTGCTCATATTGTCATTTTTATCAATAACAGCACCAAGATTATGTTACGCAACTTTTAAGCTTTTATTTGTTTAGATGAACAATAAAACATGCTAGAGAATTTTCCATATAGGAACACATGTGAAGGATATTTGACACCAAAAGTTTTTTACCTGTTGAGCCAACTGACCATGTAATGTTGAGATTAAAGTTGTTTGATGCATTAATTGAAATATCCAAATTTTTGTTTGACTACCAAGAAAAGAAAATATTACAGTTAAGAAAGTGAAAATATACGGCATACATAAAATTTAGCCTACTGATTTAAATTGTGCTAAATTTCCAAACTCTGTGAATTATATAACTTTTAAACTGAACAGGTATATTTGTCATTTATATTATAGATCTAATTTATGCCTTTAAATGAAAAAACTACTGTGTGATAAACTCCAAGGAAGACTTTATAATCTTCTCTTTTGTCATCTGTGCTATAACTTTATCTTTTCTCTAAAATGGGTATATAAGAAGCGCCCTCAAGAAATTCTTGGTATTACTAATATTTTTAGTTCATTCTATAACCTTTTTCTTTTTGAGACAGGATCTCATTGTGTAGTTCAGACTAGCTTGAACTCACTATGTAGTCCAGTCTGATCTCAAACTCATGGCAATCCTCCTGCCTCAGCCTCTAAGTGCTGGGATCACAAGCATGTGCCACCACATCCATTCATCCAGTATCTATCTAAAATGTAGCTATTATTGAAATATATGGTACCATAAGTTAAGACCTATAAAAACCATTTAGCATTATGAAAAGCTCATTAATGTCATCAAGGCATCATTAATATCTCTGAAAATTATGAAGCCAATCAATTTAAAATATTGGTAGATATGGATGAGTTCAACATGACTGTGTCACACAGAAACTCCAGAAATTGTTCACACAAAACCACTAACTAGAAGAGATCCTCAATGGGTTAAATTAAATCTATTTTCAATATGTAAGAAATATATAAATATCAAATTACCTACCATTTATTTTTATTTCCTTATAGGATAAGCAGGAAGCCTTGGTTAGTGACTCAGAATAATTTTAGACATTGCTCCCAATATACAAACATATGCTTAGTCAAAGAGAACTACAAAAAATGCTATTACAGCATCCTTGAGGGACCCTCCTCACTGCAGTTCATCATCAAAACTCATGCCCGGGCCTTTGGATTCAACTGGTCATGACAGTAAAAAATAAAATTGAAAGAAGGAGCATTTAACACAGTAGTCATTTCTGGAAACTGAAGGGTTTCTGGACATTGAAGGATGCAGTGATGGTAGGAAGAAGTAAAACAGAATTGTAGCCAGTCTAGACAAATGTGTATGACACTACTATTAACACTTGATAGGAAGATTATTTTATTTTCAAGTTTTCAGTGAGATATCCAACTTATAATAAATTTCTTCAAGCCCACAGTTTGGAATTAATATTAACAACCATGAATCTACCATTGATGGGTACATATGTTACACAAGGTTGAAGTATATATAAAAGTAATCTAAGAAGTAAATTGTGGACACTATTGCAAAACTAAAATACTGAACACACAAACTCCCTGAATCATGAGGATATTTAAATTTTATGACAAGAAAAATCAGATTGACCTTTTTTACAAGGTCTAGCATATTATAATTCTGAGGAATAAACTGTCTATGAAAAATGACAGAAAGTTTGTGTCCCTTGAAAAAAATCTAGTTACATTACAAAGGATAATATTTCTTTACCTGTTCTGGATTGGCAATGAAATTGATGGCAGTGTGGTGGCGATCATCTTCCTGTAATAAGCTAAAGGTAAACTGATAATCAATCAAAAGGCTGTCTGTAGGGGGAAAGAAAAAGTAGAATCCTGATATTTACCTTGCAATAAAAGCTGCCTGAGAAACAAAAGTGAAAATTCTATTCTACACTCATATTGAAATTGTCATTAAATACTAGTGTTCTAGTTAAGACTAGCAAAATATAAATCTTTGTTCCAAACAACAAAAAAAGGAAAATATAGATAAAGAAGTTTTAACTCCTTAAAATAATATTAATTTTTGAGTACAGCATTAACATTGTAGACATCCAGAAAATACATAAAATTAAGAAAGTAAGTAAAAGTCATCTATTATCTCTAGAGAGAAATGATTTTAACATTTTGGTGCATTTTATTCCAGTTAAAAATCTACAACTATCAAGGTAGACCTTTTGGTATCCTACTTTTATAACTTAAAAATTCTTTTGAAAACATTAACTTTAATCTTTAATATTTAAACATGTACTGTATTGCATTTACTTGTTCATTTACTATGAACATTTCTATTCTTATAATTTTAAAACAATTCCATGAAAAATTTTACTTTACATATGGGACTTTGAGCACCTTGAAAAAATAAATTCACAGGAAAGTAATTTCCAATTGCATCCATACAAAAAGCTAAAATAAAAGTAAAACATTTAAATGTTATAGGTTGTTTATGGCTTCATATGTCACACAAGGTAGAAGTATTGCTCATAGTGAGTGATTATCACAAATACAAAATTTCAAATTATTTTAATAAAGATAACCTCTATCTTTTGTACACAAACATTACTTTATTATCTCAGCCATTAAAAATATCAGTACAAAAAGTAAAGATCGGATTGCTACAAAAGGATTTATTATTAAAACTATCAAGGCATGGTTCTTCATGTTATTTACTTGTACACTTTGTAAAATTCAGCACATATATATCCCTAACCTCAGACCATAGTGTCTCTCTTCAGCGCCTGCATTCTCATTTCTCTCTGAGTATATACTTCATATCTGGCTACTAAATCTTCCTATTGTTCTCACTGACATACTCTAAATTTTTTTCTTTTTTGGCCTAGAGTCAAACAACATACTCTATAGAGGATGAGGAGGTAATCCGAGGTTCCCAGATCCTGCTTAGGACCTACATGAACCCCATTGTGTGGCAGAAAAAAAAGAAGTTCTTACTTAAGTCTTGAGGAGGTATATCTATGTTAAATATTTAAGTATTGTTGGGCCCAGTAGCCCATAGCTGTAATCTTCGCTACCAAGGAGCAGAAGGATTATTAGCTCCAGGCAAACCAGTCAATTTAGAAAGAGCCCTTCTCAAAATAAAATAAAATAAAATAAAATAAAATAAAATAAAATAAAATAAAATAAAATAAAATAAAATAAAAAAGGATTGTAGATGCAATTCAATTCAATCTCCAGTAATTACAAAATTAGAAGTACTACTGAACTGAAGTGATTATTAAAAGAACTCTTCAGAAAATGTGATTTCCAACAAATTTAATAATGCTCAGACTTCAACACAGAATTTCTTCTAAAACTGCTTACAATGAAAATCTACCAGAAGCCAGCTGTACAAATTTCTACTTAGCCAGATGATATATTTGTGCTTAAAATGTCAGAAAACATGTAGTTATACTTTTAGAGAAAATCTGAGTAAGTAAAACTGGAACTCAAAACATATACCTTAACACTGAAATATGCTCTGAAATTCTCCAGTACTAGGATATAAGATATAAGACATTAAAATTAAAACTCTGTCAAGTTTATGCAAATACATGTAACTTGATAATATTTTAATTCTACACTAATGAACTACACTGTTACGGTATGAAGAAAAATTTTATTGAGTGTTTATTCAATAAAATTATTGAACTATCAGTAAATACAAAGAAATAAGAAAGTATAACAAAACAAATGAAAGAACTTCAGGCTCAGACTGGAAGAAACAGCATGTTTCATGCTAATTAATAAAATTTATTAAGAAAAGAAAGACTAATGAAACAGAAGAAAGATAAGAAATAACTTGGATGGATCTGGAGGACATTATGCTAAGAGAAATAAGCCAGACACACAAAGACAAACAATATATTTGTTTTCTATCTAAAATATTCAAATTCATAGATTCAGAAAGAAGAATGGTGGTTCCAAGGACTGACATGATGAAAATGTTAGTCAAAGTCTTAAGTTAAATTCTCAAGATTACTGTATAGTACAGAGTCTACTGTTAACAATAATGTACTATATCCTTAAAATTTGCCTGGAAAACAGATCTATGTTAAGTGTTATCATAAATAAATAAATAAATAAATAAATAAATAAATGCAGGAGGAAACCTTTGGGTATATATATATATATATATGTAACACTATGATTTTGGTGATGGTTTCATGGGAATATATTTATCTACAAATACATCATCTTATATATTCATTATGTAATATTTTTGTATCTCACAAAGATATTCATAAAGTAGTTTAAGAATCTATCATGAAAAGATAGATTTTGAAATACAGGGCTCAGGGACATATAGTAAATCTAAAGCAAACCTAAAATATGAGTTTACATGCCATATCAAATATAAAAATCAATCCTGGTTCACTAAGACTTAAATATTAAAAGCAAATATTTACACCTTGTAGAAAAATACATAACAGCATCTTGTAAGGCCTAGAAAAAATTTTTAAGATAAAAGCTATAAAAGAAAAAAATTAATAAAATTAAAAATTTCTATACAACAGTAGTTTTTAATAAAGTTTAAGAGCAATGTCACAGAACTTGAAAGAATATTTGTAATATGTATAATCAATGAAAGATTAAGATACAAAATTTGTTAAATAAAAAGTCATATAAATTCTAAAGATAAGTACTGTCATATGAAAAAGACAAATTGCAAAATAAGAAAGATGAAAAGAATACAAACAATTCAAAGAAGAAACTCAAAAAGAGACTACATGCATGAAATGAAACATAAGGAAATGCAAGTTAAAAAAAAGTATTGAAACTATAAAGTGAGAGTATGAAAGCAGAAAAAAAGTAAAAAGAGTATAAATTGGTATAAAAATTTTGCAAGGTAATTTGGAAAAAATCTAAGTAATCTGTAATTCTATCCAAAATAAATTCTAGCAAAATAAAAGATAAATAACAACTATATTTGTAATTATAACAAACTCACAAACAGCCTAAATGTCCAGCAAGAGTGGAATGAATAAATAAATTTTGGAATATCTATCCCAAAAAATGCCCATATAATAGTATTATAATTAAAACAAATGTACTGTAGAGCTTCATATATCAGCATTGATAAATCTCAAAAAGACTGCATATAAAAGCAATTTTTAGGATACAAGGAGAATGATTCAATTTATACATTAGTTTTAAACATAAGAATGGTATTATTTTTAAATGGCTTATTTAAATGAGGTAGTAAATAATACCCTACAGGGACCGGTATGTACTTAAATGAATAATAAACATTGTTTGTTATTATTTTGATATAAATATACTATGCTAAAGTTTGAATATCTGCTTCAAATACCATGTTGAAAATTAAATGCCATTGAGGCAGTATTAAAAGGTAAGACTTTAAAAGATAAGTAAGACATAACAGTATTACTCTTATGAATGATTTAAGGCTCTCATGGTGGGAGCAAGTTAGTTATAAAACAGGCATCAGCAAATATTTCTCGTTTCCCTCCCCTCCCCTCCCCTCTTCCCCCTCCCCTTTCCCCTCCAACTCTCCTCTCCTCTCCTCTCCTCTCCTCTCCTCTCCTCTCCTCTCCTCTCCTCTCTCTCTCTCTCTCTCTTTCCTCTCTGCATAATATACATGCAAGGTTAATGTCTCACTCTGAAACACTGTACCTTCTACCATACTATAACACAGCAAGAAGTCCCTCACATGACAAAAAGCCCTTGATCCTGGATTTCCAAGCCTCCAGAAAAATACAACATGTACATTGCTATTGTCAATAATTTATGCACTCTGTGATATTGTTATACCTGCACCTTTTACATATTGCAAGCCAACAAAATAAGCATTAACAAAAAACAAGATAAAATTTGCTATTTTTCTCTAAATTATGAGAAATTCCAACCTGATTTTCAATGTCTTTTTCTTTTTAAAAAATATACAGTAAATGTAGCAAAATATTAAATGTGACTAAAGTTTTGTGTGTGTAATGCTGAGGATGCAATCTAGCACTTCTTGAGTGCTAGTTTAAGGATTGTGACCTATATTTTCATTCCTTATGATTTTTAATTATATTATACATAATATAAAAATATATGCTACATGTATCCAACTATGTATACTACAGTTTTGGCACACTTTAAATTTCACAACTTTAAAAAAAAACTGTATTTGCAATTTCAAATACATTAGGACCAATAATTTTTATGGTGCTGGGGATGGGACAAAGGGCGTTTTCACTGAGATACATCATCAGCCCTTTTTATTTCTTTTTTTTTTTTTTTTTTTTAACTTTGAAATATAAAAGCGCAGCCTCTCCAGGACCCAAAATGCAAATACCTTATAAAATAACAACTTAATGAACAGAAAAAAGAAGTAAATCTCTACAAATTAGAACAGAACTAACAGGAAAATTAGAAACTACAGAGCAGCTAGGGAAACAGAACAATACATAGAAAAGAACAAAGCAGTGTGCAAGCACACCCCGGCTCTCAGGGACGGGAATCTGTTTCCACAGCCACAAGGCAAACCTACAGGGCCTGGCACTTCAGGGACAAACAGGGGGCCAGGCCAGCAGATCTAGATCCTAGGAAAGCCCACAGCTAATTTAAACTATAAAACAACATGGAATTGTCACTCTGAAAAAGACTTCTTCTACATGCCACACTTGAGATGGAAAAGAAATCCAGTGAAATGTTCTCCTATTGCCAGAGATTGTTTGTTTAAACATGATTTTGACAAGGGGGTGGGTATTTAAGACTGAGCTACACAATAACTACAAAATAACTTCACTTACGAGGTGTAGTGGCACACACCTGTAAACCCAGCACTCAGGAAGATGAGACAAGAG